ACATCCTATTTATAGCTTAACTTGATAGGAATGTTTTACTTTCTAATCAATGTGGGACTAACTAACATGTGCATTATGTATATATGTATATACATTAACACTATTGATGTAAAATTTTATTATTTTAACATATCTACCCACTCATCTACGAAATGACTTTGCACCGTCGAAGTGCTACACTTTTGGAAATTTCTGAAACTGAACATGAGATATTGCTATGTGGGATGCGGGGGGTATTTGTAACTATTTGTACAAGGCCGAAGATAAGAAATACACTCAGTATTAAATCTCCAAACGTCCATTTAACTTATATTCCATATCAATTGGATTTTTCAAAGGTGGGGTTGATACTTCATTTTCCAAAGTCATTACTAAATATTATTTTAAAAGGAGACGATAGTTTTCCGTGAATTGTGTCCGACTAAAATGTTAAATGATACTCTACTCTTGATTTATGCCGTTAATGAATAGAGGGATTATTGTTCCCGTTACCCCAACATATGCATCCATTTCTAGTTAGTGCAACCATTTTTCATTAACTTGAATAGAGTAGTTGGTGATATCCTTCAACAACGAATTACAAGGCACGAGTGACAAATTTCCTTTTACCAATAGATAATTGACGTAAAAGACAAAGTAACATATGGCCACAGTGTGTATATTAATTATATTATATACGCACATTTGAATAAGACAGACATGCATCACCGTCAGCATAATCTATCATTGTCCCTTCTTTAACCAGAAAATGCCTTGCTTGCTTAAATCAACCATGGCTGGAAAAGATGCCATAGATTTTTAGCCATCCTGCATGTCTAAAAAATTTTTTGCGTGTCCTACTTTTTCCAACACAATAAATCCTCAAACCTTCTATATAAAGGATGCAAACTTGATTGACTAACAGCATCTTCATTTTCATTTACATCAAAGAAAACTATTACTTTTCCCTATCTCCTTGTCAAGAGAATGGCTTCAAATTCTGGCTGCACCAAGTCAGCAAATTATGTGCCACTTTATGTAATGCTTCAGGTAAGTCTCAAGAATGCCCCATTTGCAAACTTACCATCGAGTACCCGTACCAAACAAACCTCTAATGTACACATTTTTCTTTGTTCTTTAACGACAGTTGGGAGTAGTTACCAGAGAAAACCAATTCCCATACAAAGAAAAGCTGGAGAAGCAGCTCAAAGAGCTAAAAGCTGCTGGAGTTGACGGTGTAATGGTAGATGTCTGGTGGGGAATTATAGAGGCCAAAGGTCCCAAACAGTACGATTGGTCTTCCTACAGGAAATTGTTCAGACTTGTTCAAAAATGTGGATTGAAAGTACAGGCTATAATGTCATTCCACCAGTGTGGTGGCAATATAGGGGATGTTGTGGACATTCCTATCCCAGATTGGGTACTTGCTATCGGAGAAGAACATCCCGATATTTTCTACACTGACCGATCAGGTACTAGGAACAGAGAGTACCTCTCACTTGGTGTTGATAACTTGCCTCTCTTTGGATGTCAAAACGCTGTCCAGGTATGACTTGTGATAACTCGGATTTTTGTAATTAGTACTATGAGCTCTTCAGAATTATACGTATTTCAAATATATAAATGCATTTGTATAGATGCATAGTGATAACATGAAGAGCTTCAGCGAGAATAAGTCAGATATTTTGGACTCCAGAACCATTGTAGACATCAAGGATAACTTGCATCACATTGGACATCGAACTGCTGTCCAGGTATGACTTGTGGTAACTCGGATTTTTGTAATTAGTAATATGAACTCTTCAAAATTATACGTTTTTCAAATATATAAATGCATTTCTATAGATGTATAGTGATTACATGAAGAGCTTCAGAAAGAACATGTCAGATTTTTTGGAAGCCGGAACCATTGTAGACATTGAGGTTGGACTAGGGCCTGCAGGAGAGCTAAGATATCCATCATATCCTCAAAGTCAAGGATGGGTTTTCCCCGGCATTGGAGAATTTCAGGTGAGATAAAGAATAGTCTGTTTGACTATAGTTATCAATCGTATCATACTATATAGTTATACCTGTGGACCTCAAATGGACAAATTGTTTTTGAAGTTATACTTAGGCCCCCTAGTATAAAGAGGCAAGTTTTCTTGTAAGTAAGTCGTGTAAGAGGGACCTGCCGAAGATTTCATATGGAGGTGAACCACTATAAATATGTTTGTGTGTTTTGCTCGTTTTGGAATTTTGTATTCCTCTTGTAATTAGGAGTAGATTGTAAAAGTTATTGTTCAGATTGATAGGCCTCCCCCCTTGTTTCAGCTTTCAAGTAAATCAACCGAGTCCCATGCATTCTAACAGAAGAATTGATATTATGATTGCAGTGCTATGACAAGCATTTGAGACTAGATTTTAAGGTGGCTGCAACCAAGGCAGGGCACCCAGAATGGGACCTCCCAGATGATGCAGGAACATACAACGACACCCCTGAGAAAACAGGATTTTTCAGATCAAATGGGACTTACCAGACAGAAAAGGGAAAGTTTTTCTTAACATGGTACTCTAACAAGCTAATATACCACGGGGATCAGATACTTGAGGAAGCCAACAAAGCCTTCTTGGGATGCAAAGTCAAGCTCGCTGCTAAGGTACTTGTTATTTGCATAAGCTTAATATGTATGTGTACGTGACATTACTTATAATATCCGGCATATAAAGTTCAACGAGAGTCATAACTACCGTAATAGAAAAGTAATATTCCATGATGGTCTTTATGAATGTCATGATATCCTTTTACGACAGCCTGATACAAGGCTGTACTTTATTTGTTGTGGATGAAAATCTAGTCTTATTTTGCGCTATATTTCATAACACACTGATTTTCCTGTGCAAACAGGTTTCCGGAATCCACTGGTGGTATATGGATGAGAGTCATGCTTGTGAGCTAACATCAGGATACTATAACCTGACTGGCAGGGACGGATACCGGCCTATAGCAAGGATGTTGTCCAGACATTATGGAACCTTAAATTTCACATGTCTTGAAATGAGAGACAGTGAACAACCGCCAGAAGCAAAAAGTGGACCTCAAGAACTTGTACAACAGGTTGAACTGTGAGCCAATTTTCCATCAGAAATTGTCGAAAATTAAAAAGTAGAGAACTTTTTAAAATATTTTTGGGAACCTTAATTTGGTAGTAGTAACAATTTGTCACTAAACTCTCCAAAACGAAGATAAGCATAATAAATCGTGGCACAGTGTAAGGTCTTTCATATAGGTTTATATTTCATGTTTTCTCAAGTCATATATATCCAACTTAGGCTGTGCAAGAATGTGTCGTCTCTTGTTTAGTTGTGTGTCCTGTCACATATCTTTTTCTTTTAGATGTAAATTGGAGGGGCAATTTTTGCACCATATTTCTGCAGGTTTCGAGTGGTGGATGGAAGGAACATATTGACGTGGCTGGCGAAAATGCACTTCCAAGATATGATCGTGCAGCTTACGATCAAATCCTTCTGAATGCTAGGCCAAATGGTGTCAACAAATGTGGTCCTCCAAAACCGAAAATGGCTGGAGTGACCTACCTTCGTTTATCAGAGGAGTTACTTGAAGAGAGGAAATTCAGCGTATTTAAAGAATTTGTGAAGAAAATGCATGCTGATAAGGTAAGCATCCTTTTACCAGTGCTTTTACAGGATAACCGTTAAAACAAAATGCATTATTTTTAATGGCATGTCATGTACAAGTAGGCTGAATTGAACATGACTTAAGGAAAAGAAGAATATGACCAATCTGTCAATTAACTTATGCAGTTTGCCGCACTATACATGACTTACTAATGAAAACTAATATAGCTATAACTATTCCTTTTTTGGTATTTTAATTGCTGTCAAATTTTCTCAGGATTACAGTCCATGGGTCACTCATGTAGCTCCTCTGCATAAATCAAAACCAAAGATTCCAATTGACGAAATTTTGGAAGCAACCAAACCAATCAAGCCATTCCCGTGGAATGAGGAGACAGACATGAGTGTTGGTTCAACTGATCACCATTGTAAAGATGTTACAATGGTAATATGAAGCAATAAGTACTGGAGATGTAAGGGTATGTCATTCTGAATAAAAGAATCCAAGTTTCCCACTTCCATTTGTACAGGGAAATTTTGGTCTGCGTTTGTGTTGAATAATAAGTTTAAATAAATAAACTTGTTGCCACTTGAACATCTCAAGTTTTTGAACAATGTAACTGTATTATAGTAAATAGAGGTCATGTTGTTCCAGTCTTGCCACTACCAACTTATGAAAATTATACATATATAGATCTTTGATGAAAAATATATTCGGCGTGCTCTTGAGAGAGTGAAGTAAAGAGTAAATTAAAATTGCACAATTAATCTTTAATGTGTTGAAAACCCCCACCATACCTCTTGACAATATCGCCACACAGTTATGGTTTTTTTGGTTGTGATCACATTCTTAATCCCAAGGTTGTTGACCTCAAAATCTGCACATCTTTGCTGTCAATTTTCTATCACGTCACTTCCTATCTAACTATTTATGTCCTACACACTCGGACAAAAACGCTTAGGTATCAAATCACCGACCGAAAAAAGGTACCGATGAGCATCAGTACTCCAACAATCAAGTCAACCGTTGGTACAAGTTATACGGAGAATTGAGTGTGGGAGAGACAAGTCAGACAACTAAGCAGCATAATCATATTTATACTTTCTACATTTTTGCTTCTCTTTTTCCTCCTTTTTTTTCTTTTTTGGGCACCCGTGAATCAATCTATTATGCACTGAGAGTCCTGAAAATCTATATTCTCCATCATATTCCTCGCCATCGCACAAAAAATGGTATGGCCATATTGTACTCATCCACAACCACTTCGTTTTTAGCATTCGTCACTCATTGTTTAGGACCTCCTTGACATTGTCTGCATACATGTGCAGCATCCTCAACACGTCATTATGAGCACCCAATCACAGGAGTCTCCTCTTCGTGTATTTTTGTTGGGGTATGTGTGTGCATTTTGGATATCAAATTGAATTTTAACAAACAAAAGATCAAAGTAAATTTACTTGGAATTAAAGACAAAAGTTAGAGAAAACGTAAGAATGAAAAACCCGAGGTAAGTGTTCAACACTAAGAAAGACGAATTTGCCCCACAACCGTGCTAACGGAGTCTTTGCAATCGTCTCCCAAGATACAACGGATTCTCCTTGCAGTAGAAGCACGTCAAACTTCAAGGCAATGTCGAACTCGAAACATATTTCTTTTATACTAGCTATGATTTTTTATGCAAGAAAACAATGATTTTTCAAGTGTTTTGATGCAAAGTAATCAAAGAGAATGATATGAAACGAATTTTGTGCATCAAGGGTGTCCAATTTATAGAAGATAAGGGGTTGTGGACGGAGAGACACGTACCAAAATTCAGCATGTTTCATGAACGGATGCAGCCTTCAGGCCGATCGCTAGCTGTCCACTTTGGCGCTCGAGCACTCAAAGCAAGGACTTGCCGCTCGAGTAGCGGTCATGTATGTTGAATTCCCTTTTTTTCCTTCTAACTTTGGACAACAATATCTCATTCATCCGGAATTTATTTTGAGATTTCAAATATACTACAATCATTTACTCGACGAGTAGAACAAGTTACTCTGTTCACTTATGTGATTTGACTATCAGAACCCATCCAAATATCTGGCCGAAGTTTATACAAATTCAACTTTTCTTAGTTTTACTTTACCAAAATTAAACCAAATTCCAACATTTTTAGCCTTATTTCTATCTATGTTCAACTTCTATGAGATGTTAGTCGTTTACCCGGTGATTTTCCATGAATTATACATAATCATGCACATATATACCTATGCTAAAAAAATTTTTTTTTTTTACTGGCATAAGCTAATATCAGAATAATCAATACATAATTAATTTACCTTGGAGAAAAATGTGTGATAATGTGTTTTGATCACTGCATTTTATTTATAGGCAAAACAAAGGAAACAGTAAATGTATGTGAAGATATGTGTGACAGAATTAGCAGTTGAGTTGATTTCAGCCTTCTCATTCATATTTTAAAGGAGACTCTTTTTAGGAGGTGTTGCAACAATCTAGAGAGGGGCAGTTAAAACTGCAGGTGTCTGTAGATTTTTGCAAGGTAACAAGGTATCAGGTATATAAACCAGTTTATAAAGACGAATAATAGAGGGTTCGCGAAATAAAATGGGTAATAGTTATGATTGTGTCATTGAAATTAATATTTGACTTTTATTGAATTATTGAATAGATTTATAAAGTAGTTGCCAAACGCACACTTTGTATGCCACGTTTGAATTGAAAGTTTCGAGAAGATATGGAAGTTAAGTATTGCATTTGTGCATGCAATGCAGTTTTCGTCTCCTGTCAATCGGCGAGGTTGCATTGAGTATGGATTCAGAAGTAAACAATAGCATCCTACCATGCCAACCAGTGACAAGAGAGCCTTATAAGTTCATGTGTCGAATACTCTGATGTCGTATCAAAATTCATTTCAACTACATATTTTAATGGATCAACAAATATTGTTCACTTATCTACCACTCATTTCAATCTATTCATGGATCAAACCGTTTATAAACTCTTTCCAAATGAAAGCTAAAAAATATGTCATTTACTAAAACTCGTGACCTAAAACCCATCTCCGGCAACTACATTATGTTATATGGTTAATAATGTAAATGACATTCTTTTAAATGGAAGATCAAAGTAGATTATCCAGCTTGATCTACCATAATATCATTTACTGATTATTTAGTATTATCCATTATAATTTTATACTGAGCCCCTGTTTGAACCCCATTTTCTAGGAAAAACGAGTTTTGTAATACTGATTTTTGGAGTGTGGTTACAAAATATAAAAAGAAATTGGATGTATGTGTAAACTTATTTTCGGAGAGAATGTAATTAAAAATGAATTTTGATGAAAATGGAGCTCAAACAGGGACTAATTTTTTTTACGGTTAGGGATAGTTCTACCTGCCAAACATAACCTACACAGTCAATAAATTATATGCTAATTTTTGTTAGCTTAACTGCGGTTGCATAGGCTGGAGGGGTGATTTGGGAGTTCCATTTTGAGGTAATCTTCCAGTTCAGGCCATTGATTTCGATCCTTACGTTGTGGAAATATGCCGTAATTTTTGGATCATCTGAAAGTGTGGTGCTGTTGCTGCTTCAACTTCTCTTGACAAAAAAAAACGAGGTTTCAAACTAACTCCAACTTAATAGAGTTCATATAATATAAACTAGTACAAGTAAAATGATTGGAATTTGCTAAGAAGCCTTCAACTTTTCGTAAAAGGCATTTTTGACCTACACAGGAAACAAAAAGGAACACTGCACTATTACGCAAACAATGAATTACAGATTGTAAGAAAAGAATGAAAAGAAAATATATCTGTACACAAGAATTAAGAGTGGAAGTAGCATAAGCAAATGACTTCAAAAATAATCACCAATTCTGAGATGGGGCAGCTGCAACTAAAACCGAACATCTGAAAAAAGGTGTTCCTGGGTGAATAAACAAGAAATCCTGATGCCACTTCCCTAATATGCCCGCAAAAATTTCACCTATCCCACATGGCCTGGAATATTGAAGGTCTGAGCTTTAACCAATGTATCATCTCCTTGTCAATTGGAGCCTCCTGTAAAACGGAGTCTAACATGGGACTGCCAACAACTCTAGGAGAATTCTTGAATGACCAAATCCGATCCTTTGGCCATGGTCTCTGAGGTTGTCTCTCCTGGAGATGAAGATAATGTTATTCAATCAAGAGCTCAAATAAATCGTGTACGTGTTCACAAAGACAAACAAAAACTCAATACCAAATCCATGCATCGAATTAACAAACGAAAGAATAAATAAGAGTGGGGGTCCTCCCTATGTCCCCCCCCCCCCAAACCACCCCCCTCCCTCTCCCTCCCTCCTCTCGTTTTTCGAAGTTTGAGGAAAAAGTGGGGGCAAGACATTAGGGGAGGTGAATTAAACTGGACAAAGCTTACCATTCTAGCAAGCATAAACTTCAGAGTCCTTGGACCATAAACACGTTGGTGTGATGGCTTCTGAAGTTTCGCATAAAAGGAACCAACATCCGGTAAAGATAAGCAACCCCTGCTAGCTTGGGCTAGGCTAGCATCCGGTTCAGCATTAGCTTGATTGTGCCAAAATATCAGCTGGCCTAAACAATAAGTCTCATTGTATGTCTTACAATATTCATGAATGCCAGAACCCAACTTATCAGCATACTTGGGGCCAAGGTCGAGTGGACTGATGCAAACAGGTGGGGAAGTTATGGTCTTATATTCCTGCAAGATGACGTGAATTAGATCTAGAAGAAATCAGAAAGCCTTGAGAGACCCAAGAGCTTTTCATACAATTTCAGCAAAATACAAACACTCACTCTTGAAGACTTTTTTATAAAACATATTCGTATATATACTTAGTTCAGTCGTCGTCGTAGTACGGATGTAAACATCCATGTTCCTTCTGACGCCTGGAGTAGAGAGTTGGACTTGGTTCCTCCACTTTAGTCAGTACTTCTTTTACAAAGTTCTAGTTTCTGTGAACTTGAGTATTTTATCAAGTACATCAAATGGTATCGTTTCTGAAGGCTTCGAGTCAGACATGTAGTGGTCTCGGTCTTCCTAGCACCCATGCTTAGAACCGGAACTCCAGAGAGTTGTATGGTAGAAGGTTATGAGGAGCCATGCATTGGATGAGTTCTTCCACAACTGATGACTCTCCTTTCCAAACGTATGAGACTGCTGCTTCAGGGCTAAGCCTCTCCAGTGGAGGGGGGGCCTTCTTTGGGTCACCAAAAACACATCTCATGACGTACCTCACCTGTTCGTGCAGAGAAAATACAAAATAGTTTTAGCTTCTTACTCCGTTACCTGACTTTCTCATAGATATTTATATTATCTTATTTGGGGGTTAGGGAATTTAATTTAAAAAATTAGCAAACCACCCACCTTGTCTAGAGTAAGAGCCAAATTTTGAAGCCTTTGGTTGTAGACACCCTCAGCCTGTGGCAACCAAAATTATTAACAATACCAATATTAGTAACTAACTCCCAGCATATCTTAAGGCACATGGTAACCCAGCACGCTAGACGGGGAGGATTTACCTGAACCTCAGCATCACTTCTCTCAATCTCCAGGCTTACATCTGCAAAGTATTTCTTCTTTTCTTCTACATTATGCCTCAGAATTGTGTCAGGAAGTTTTGTCCTCTCAAAATTGATAAATCTCACCTATATTACAAATCAATAATTAGACAATATCGAGATATATTTCTAAACATGGGAGTAGCACTAGAGCAAAGATACACACCAGACGAGCTGAATAGGCAATCAGCCATTCAGGCAAACCGCCAAGTAAACAACTGCCAAGTCCAGCTTTACCCAGGTCAATGTAATCTTCTTCAGATACCGAATTGATTTCACAAGCCTCTAGCATCAAACGATATCGATCAAGTACCCCGTGATGCTCTTTTATTACCTGATGACCACAACAATCACAGATACAATTAGTATAGCCAGCCGAAATACATTGAAAGTGTTTAAAGTGGAAAAAATAGGTGCAATAAAATTAATGAAAGCATTAAATAATCCGAGTCTAACCCCCACCCCAAAACCTATTATATTCCAAATAGCAAAACGGAACTTTCTCAGTTTGTTAACTTTATGAAACACAATTTTCTCCACTAGTGCTTCTTATAAAAGCAGCTGCAAAAGTTTAAGCAATCCTCTAACTAACAGAAAAAAAAAATGCAATTTCTATACCTTTTGGAAAGCCCCCTCCCCAGTTAGATTCAGATAACTCCCACGGCAAACCTGGCTGCCACATAAGCAAACAGAAGCTTCGTACTCTTCCTTACTCTACAACAATGGCATTGAAAATCAATCAGTACCAACAGTAAACAAATCGCTAAGCTGTCAAGCTTGAGAAAAGCTTCACATGATGTCAACATTTACCTCTGTAACAGAATTGTAGTCAAAGGAGATCTCTTCACCGTATGAAATGGGTCTAACCGAATAGATCCCAATCTGGTATTGACCATCAACAGCAGTAACCCTATTTTATCGTGAAAAGTGATGATAGCTTGGTAAATAATACAACAGATCTTGATATGATAGAATTAACTCTTATCATGAAAAGTAAACAATTAACTAATCTTATGGTAAGAGAATAACTTCTTACGACGTTCACACAGATTTCAAAATTAAAACATTTTTTATCAAAAAAATCTGAGAGAAAACAATAAAACGGTGATGAAACCTAAATCCTTGATGGCCAATCAGCTATGTCGAAATGACACAGAATACAAAATTACAGGTCAGTAAATGCAAAAACACCCCCTTTCTGCTAACAGATTTTCATCAGATTCAAAAACCAAGAGAGTTATTATATAATGCCCACAAAGTGGAATGGAATACATTAAAAAAAATTCACATAAGAACTTACTTTGCTTCACAATTAGGTCTGCATGAGTGACAAATTCTGCTTGCATAGTTTGCCTTGTGCATTGCATCCACAACTACTAAATCATATCCATCAGCATCACCCTGCCATATAAAGACAATAAATAAGGTCCAACCATTATGGGGCAAGCAGAAAGAAGCAGCAAAATAATCAAATAACAAGTCTGAATCAATAAACTTGATCAAATTCAAAATACCTTTGGCCTCTCAAGATATATGTTGTAGAACTCTGGTGCCGGATCTTCATTGTTTTTTTGCAATGAACGAATGCCATCTTGCTTTTCAAACCATTTCCAAGCAGGATAAACCTATGCTTATCAGAAAGAATAACTGATCATAAATTTTGAAAAACGTTTATTTTTTCTGGTATAACCGTATAAGAATCAGAGTAGATTTACATGTAGATAAACACGACACTGGATGAAAAAGAAACAATTAACATGAATAGTCAATGAGGATGCAAAATAACTATCAGGACCTAACAGTTCAATTCACACAATTCAAGGGAAGAACATGTAGAAGCACGTTTTACATAGATCATCCAGGAGATGTAAACTATCCAGAACCTAATCCCTAGATACAAGACATTGTACTTTACCTCTCCCAGAAACTCAACAACAAAATCATCCTCACTGAAGCCACCTTCTTTGTTGCAAACAACACCGAGCCCCTTTTAGAAAATAGAAGGTCAAGAAAATAAAATTAGATATACTGAAAGTAACCAAATGAGCACCTAAAACAAGATATCGTGCAGCGTGAGCAAAATACATATTCAACAATACAACTAAGTAATAATGCAATAAACCTTTCTATAAGCAACGTAATTGTCCTCCGGACGACTATCAATGGCCTTCAAGATGAACTGGCATAGCCTCACAGTTCTCCTGTCATTTTCTTCCTCCCCAGTTTCTAATATCTCTTGAAATACAGGTTTCAAAGGGTAAATCATAGGAGTGTTGCCAGTGCCAGTGAAGTGTCTGGCCTGCTTGT